TTAATTAATCATAATGCAAGCAATAGGGATCAAACACAATACTACTTGGCCAAACTAGCTTTAATACCATGTCAAACAATCATCCAACCTAAAATCTTAAATATCAAGTGAGATCCCTGAATAGGTTTTTATTTACCAAGAGTATTTCTATTGTTTTTACATTCAAAGTAGAAGGGAAGTTTAATTCCAATGCAAAAAAGATGGTCAAAGGAAAATAAGTTGATTCCAGCCTTGAAATTCAAAGTTAAGACACCATAAATTTCTCAATGTAGAGCCGAACTAGGTTTGCATCCATGTTAGTACAATTACTTTTTGCACTCTTACCAAATACAGCCAAATAAACTTTTTTTTAACTAAAATTACTATATTAAACCACAGTTAATGAAATAAAGTTCTGTACATCTAGCAACCAAGCTGATGGTCAGTAACAGGGGATTGGGGGTTTTGGATCAGATTACACAGATTATTTACTTCATTCACAATCCATTGGACCGATATAGTACAGTCCTTAAAACATTTCTCATTTCGCGCATGCCAAATATAATATAGGGCAACAAAATACCAATTGAGGATCCATTTAATAAGATGTTTATCATGAATGCTCGTCATCAAATCTTTTAGGGTGTGTTTGTTTTTAAGGAAAAAGTAGGGAAAGGAAGGGAAATCTTTATAAATCTTATATAGGTTTCCTTACTTTTTCCTTCAAACCAAACATAACCTTAGGCTGCGTTTGGAAATGATGCAAATCCCAGTTCAGTGCATTATTGCACCCCCCATCCATAATTGCATGTATTTGGAAACATTGTAAAAATACTCCTAAAATCAATGTAAAAATGCAAACATGTCAGGATTTATAAAATTTCATTCTCTTCTTTTAGGTTTACCCTCACCTACCAGAACAGTGATTTGAATAACGACTATTTTCCCATATCTTCACAACATTTGAGATGTGAGAGTCCGATAATCTGTCCAAATGTTCAAGCATCTGACTATGCACAAGGAACTCATGGCCAGATATTCCTAATCGTTGCAACCAGTGATGTTATGTTCGACAACATAGATTTTGACACCGAGAGAGGAAAGGAGGAACACTAGGATGATCTGGCCAGGTAGGTACAACGATCGAGAGAGGAAGGTGTTTATCAAATAGCTACTCAATGCCCTTTTCCCGATGGTATCTCAACGATGCCCTAAATACCGGGTTGTTCGATTATATATGGGTTCAGTTCTATAACAACCACCACTGTAACAACTCCAATGACACCGATAGCCTAAAGAGCTCTTGCAACTAGAGGACTTCAAGCATCTCAGCGAAGATCTTTCTAGGATTGTCAGCATCCCTACAAATGTGTTAACCTCTCAAATCCTTCGGATGATTAAAAGGGATCTCCAAGGTATGAAGGGGACATGCTTTTAGTCTAAGTACTTCGATGATAAAAGTGGGTATAGTTCCTCCATTATATGGGTACAGCTATACAGTTCCTTTTGGTCCATATCTACTCAATGGACAAGGACACGAGGATCAATGTGGAGTTATATTTGTTTTGCTTTAGATTTTATGGTGGTCCTGCAAGAAATCTAGCAGTCAGAAGGCCTAGGGATCCATTCAATACTTTTTCATCGGTGTAAGTTACCAAATGCTGGCAAAAGTCTCCTGATTGATTTACATCGTTGGTGCCAAACAAGAAAAGAGTAAATCAAACATAAAAAAGTGAACCGATTTGTATTTAACAAAACCGGTAGAATGTCAATTTACACCTTGCAAATTTGCATTTACTTCGCTTCCAAACACAGTATTAGGCTCAGTTTGAAGGAATGTGTATTTGTACAGTATAAATATATACAAAATAAAATAAAATGTAAGGTTTTGCACTCTACGTATTTGTATTTGTACTCCTTCCAAATTGAGCCTTATAAATTGGACCCAAGATTCTTGAAAGAATAGGTGATTTGTGGTCTCTATCTACTAGTTGCAAAGTGAGCATAGGATATCTTGATCACTTGTAAATAAGTTGTACTTCACCAGGATATAATTTTTTATGACCCTCCAAAGGAAAAGTTGGAATCTGGGAGGGATAAGTAGAGCCCATATTCTTTAAAAAGATTTCTCTGAGCACCATATATTGATTGATTAGTGGGTTGGGCAAGGATCTTGTACGCTTGTTTTACTGTGAATTTTCCTGAGGGATGACCAAGCAAAACCCATTGGAGGGAGGGTTTTGAAAAAAAAAAATAGCGTGTTTACAATGTCTTGGGTAACAAAGGGATCAAAGTAGATCTTGATTTGATCTTCATTCCAAGAACCTTGTGATGTTAATGTGTTAAGAGGCTTATTCCGAAGGGTGGTTGGAATGGGTCGAGGTGCCAAAACAAAGTTATTACCTGATTGGATCCAAGGGACTTGGTTTAATTGGATATTGGAGTCTGCTCACTAAAAACCCTACTTCCCTAAAAGTCTCCTAGATTAGGGGGGACCACATTCTTCTGAGGGGTGAGCCTGTTGTAGAGATGGAATGTGGGACTAATGCCCGATTTTTCAAATACTTAGCCTTCCAGATTTGGGCCCAAATTTTATGTTGTTCATTCAGGAATCGCTAAGCCAACTATTTTAACAAGGCTAGATTAACATGTTTGAGCAGTCTGAACCCCAATCCTCCTTGATTTCTTGGCTTGGCTAGATTATTAGCCAGGCATACCATCTGAAATGGGTGAGGCCTAGTTTTTGACTTGGCCCACTAGAAATTTTGAATGACCTTCTCGATTTAATAGGTTGTTTTCTGGAGGGATGAACTAGCATAGCTTGCAAAATTGCCTGAATGAGGGCTTGTTTACCTACTTCACTAATGACCGAGGTCTTCCATTTATTCAATTTTGAGTGTAAATTTTCCAGAAGGTAACATTGCGTTTGTTCCTAGACCAAGTAAGAGGAATCCCAAGATATTTGGTATGAGCTTCAAGGGTTTTCATGTGAAGTTGTCTACAGACCACTGATGTTTAGGATGAATGTTTTTGCTAAATAAAATCTCAAACTTGTCCAAATTGATACTTTGACTACTAGAAAGGTTCTAGAATTCTTTAAGGAGATCTTTTAGGTTATCCAAATCCTCTCTATGGGCTATAAGGAAAAGCATGACATCATCCACAAACCAGAGGTGGAAAACAGTGGGAGCTCCACTAGCTAGTTTAAAGCCTTGGATTTTATTCTCCAATTCAACCTTTAGGAGAATCCTAGAAAAGCCCTCCATTGCTAAGATAAAAAGGCAGGGGGAAAGAGAGTCTCCTTGCTAAGGCCAAATAATCTCATTTCGGATCATGTATGGGTAGGGAAATCTTTCTATACTATACCTAGATAAATTGGTTCAGACTAGATAAGGAATGTGTATTGGGATTTTCTTTTTGATTAATGCATTGTTGGGATGGAAAGGATAAAAACAAGGAATAAGAAGGTCATATATCATATATGGGAAGATATGAAGCTTCTATTTGTTCTAGTTAAATTAAAGGGAATAATAAAAGTAGTAGTAATATAAGTAGCAAAAGAAAATAAAAATAATAGTAATACAGCTATCCACAACAAAGAGGTGCAATGATCAAATAGCTAGCTTCAAGGCCCATCTTGCCTTTTCTTGCAATAAGTGGGTCCAAGTAGGTCACTCCTCATTGATTGGTCCTTAACTTGATCAGGTTGAGTTCAGACAAGTTACAAATCATCAAAGCTATTCAGTTTTTTATATGAGAGAGGGTAATTGTTAATTGACGAGTCCAACCCATTAGGTGATTGGTGATGGTATTAATGTTCTATTCTTTTTTTTTCTAATTTCTAACTAGTTCTGTGTCCATCCCACTTTGGTTGATTTGTGCGGGTCGACCATTTCCATTTGCTAATAAGACTGTTTGGTTCAGATCCTTGGGTAATCCTTCTCCTGTCTATTTTTTTTTTTGTTAAGGGGGCGTTCCCTTTTTGGATTGGGAGAAAGAGGAAAGTTGGTCAAATGGGATTTTGGTTCCTAATGATCAAGAATCCTATGTGCTTTTTTCAGCTTTATGTGGGGAGCAGGGAAAGTTTATTTTCCTATGTATCACTTACCTAGTAAAGTGATATCCATCTCCTAGGTAAGTAAATAACTTTCTCACATAGGGGGAAAGTTACCAACACTTGAATGGGACAAAAAGTCATTTTTAATAATAGATTTCTATGGATAAAATGGTCATTGCATTATTTACCTAAGAAATAAAAGAATATGGGTAAGTGCGCTTACCTGAGTAAATATTTCCCAAAAAAAAAAATTACCCAAATAATTACATTTACCCGAATAAATAACTTACCGAATAGCGAACAGGGCCTAAAGTGAGTCATTTCATTTTACTTCTCACATTCAAAAAGACAGTTAAATATGAAGCAAAGCAAACCAAAACTTACACTCAACTCTTTAGCATTTTCCACCGGTGCAAATAACCCTTTTTTATGTGTGCGAGAACTGAATTTCCAAGACATCAAGCCAAGTTGAAATAATATAAATATATATATATATATATATTTATAACATTTCATCCTATTGGTTTGATATTGATAAAAGTCGAATCTCAACCCAATTACATCCTTTTTTTTTGAATAACTAAATGGAGCTATATAACTAGCTCGATCAGTTGACAAATTGGTTGACCCATTCAGTTGACCCGCTACAAATGGACCTAACCCATTCGGATCTTTATTATTTTTTTCTTCAAATATGAACTCTCAGATGACAGATCTATTGACGTGGGCTTGGCTGGTTTTCGGGTTAGACCTATCCGTCTATCCCCATCCCCATCTGAATTAAATTACACGGCTAGGCCTATTTTGTGGGTTTTTGGGTTGGAATGGTGTGGGCACGGGCTTGCCCTGACGAAAGCCGAAATGAGACGCCAGTGCGTGCGTGCACGCAATCATATCTGTAACACGTGCTAATTGCTTTAATACGTGTGAATGGAGGACTTGTGTGACCTGTGAAGTGGGAGTGGCAGTGGGACTGCGTTGGTTCATCGGAGCGAGCATTGATGGCGTCAGTGCTGTCTCTGTGGGTGGGGTCGCCGGCCTTCTCAAAAAGGACAGCTCATTCATGGCGTTCGATCTCTCTCTCTCTCCCCTCCTTCTCATCCATCACTTCTCTCTTCGTGGCAGATAACTCATAACCAATTTTCTTTCTACTCTCCTCCTCTCTCTCTCTCTGATCATTCCACCTCTCCCTCTCTCTGATCATTCCACCTCTCTCTCTTACCGTGAATACTGAACTGCAAACATGAGAGGGCGGGCGTCATTCAGTCTTTATCTTCTAAATATTTCTCTCTTGTCTTTCTGTAAGCATTCATGTCGCAACCTCTGATTTTATCACCTTTATCTTTTGCTATTATTAGCTCTTCTTTCTTCGTGTTTAATTTTGATTGTTTTGTTGCATAATCTGTTGGCTTTATCACTTGCCTCATCATGGAATTGGGACATTCTTTTTTTTTTTTAAGTTATTGGGCTTTTTGTTTTTGTTTTTTGTTATTTTCGTGGCTTAATGGAAACAAGTTTTGGAATTTGATGCCTTATCATGGTGCTTGGTTCATATTTTTCTAGTGGATTTCGTTTTTGTTTCTTAATTGGTTCGAGTTGGAGAAATTTTCTATGGAATTCGTTGGGACTTCTGTTCAATTTCTTGCACATCTTACCTGAAGTCATTTTCATGGTTAAATTTATTGTTTCACGCCATTTGGTGTTTCTTTATCTGGATATTCGGACTTAGGACTACTGTTGCAATTCTTCCGGGTTATGCCAATGTTAGGGTTAGATTTTTGAGATAACGGATACTTTTTTGCTCTATTTTCTTTTAGTTAAATTGAGAGAATTCCAATTGTAAAACATAGCTGGTTCTTTTAGTTATGATTTCCAAAGGATTCTGGTAACTAATAATCCACGACCAGTAGGTGATGCCTAGACCTACTTAAACTAAGAAGTGGTTTTGGCTTTGGTTCAATATGTTGACTTGTTGACAAACTATCGAGATTCTTCAGCATGACTTGGACTAATGTCAAATTAAATTGATTTGGTCAAATCCGCTTGCTTGGAGATTCTAAAAGAAAATTAAATTCTTAAAAAAAAAAAAGAGAAAAGCTGTCATTTTTAGAGTACTGGTGAAAGTGAAATATTTAAACTCTGAGTTTTTACCAGAACTTTTGGAAAACCATTAACTCATATGTTTATCTTGAGCTATCTCCCTAAGGTTGCTTTTGTTTAACCTGCAAATGTGCTTTATAAGGTAGTTAAAAAAATACTAATTCTGTATAAAAAATTGCAAATGAGATTGTCTTTTATTTTTTCATTTCCAATTTTCTTTTTCTTTCTTTTATTTTTTACCTTTATACAGGTATATATTTTGTTGGATCCAAAGCAAAGCCAAGAAAATTAAGAAAGCCAGGATGATCTAGATCTAACACATGGCTGGATGCTTTGCTGCATTGAGGTGCAAGGGCATACTTACATTTGCACTGTCCACAGAGAGTGCATATTGTGGAGCCAAACCATATTACCATTTAGACTTTTCTTTTGTTCCTTTATAAATTTTGGGTTGTGCAATCAACCTATCCTTGATTATATCACTAAGATGGCTCTAATTTTCTTTGAATGGGAACTGATTGTGTGCGATCTGGATGCTCCTAACTGGAGGGCAGCTCAGTCGTTGGTTGCTTAGCTAGTCAGTCGAACTGCAAGGAAATAGAGCTCAAAGGACCCGGGGTGGCTTACCCGGTGTGGGCGCTCCGATACTTAAGTTAGTACTTCTTAGTGTGCGAGCTGAAAGTCTGATAGCAAGTAGGCTAGTGAGCAATAAATCGCGTGTACCTTGTGCCGTTGGGGTTGATGCCCTTAAATAGGTGAGCTACCGTAGGTCTCACGAAAAACCTCTGAGATCTTCGGCCCGTGCTGTTAAGAGTCCATTCCACACCACGAGGAGGACTTCATGCTAGCCGATAAGGCTTATCAAGTTCGTCCGATCCAGGCGGTATAAGGATAAGACCTACAGTCATGTGACGTGATCCCGAAGAGCTCGGAGACAGCTGGCCTGCTTCTAGAAGATGGCTGTGTCACATCGGCAGGTTGGGCCATCACGAGCTGCTTGGACCTCGGTCATGGCCGAGGTGCCCGAGGTACCTGAGCTGACCTGGCCTACTGAGGTGGCAGAAAGTGCTGAGTCAATGTCCAATCAGCAGGTTGCTTCCACATGTCCGTATATGAGTAGGTCGGGCCAAATCACCCCTCATCAGGAACCATTTTCCATAGCTTTCAATGGATGACCTTTTTTTTAAGGTCCTTCTGGCTTGTTATGTACAGCTTCTCATTGTACAAAGGACCTTTACATTAATACAATTATACTTCACCTTTGCTCAAAAATTCTGTAAGTCTGTTCCTATCTTTATTTGTTAGTAGTGCGATTTAATTTGTACTACTACAAGTGAATGGGATTGCAAATTTTATTCAAATTTGCTTTGGATTTTACTTTATTTGCCTCAGCCTTCAGCTTCAGGTCTTATTTTACTTCATTTGCACTGCAAATAAACAAAATAAGGTAAAAGCTAAAACAAAAATAAACCAGATCTATTGCACTATCATGCTTTTGCACCATTGTAAATAAAATTGCACTGCAAACTAACCAGGCTAGAGAGTTTCATACTTTATGTTAAGGCATGTGGAAATAATGATATCCTAGATTGCATCCTTAGTAGGTTTTAGAACACTTGCCTAAAGAGTTTCTAACATACTATCATTTTTACACACCAATAAATCTTCACATTATTGAAGCTTTGGGGGTGGCACAACAAATATTCATTTCTTATTGATAGCGATGACTGGACTATGGGTAGTGCTTCATAATTTTCTTTGATGTGATTATTTGTGAATTTAGTTTATGTACAGTGATTTACCAAGTAGACTTCTCTATACTGTACTCCTTATGCTATATACATTGACTGTGTAATTGACACACATAATGATTACCGTGCTTCACCAATGCTTTAATGCATGTTAGAGATTCTGCAAGCATAGTCATGTCTGTTTTGGCTTTACAAATACAACATCATATATCCATTTCCTTCTCTGATAAGTTTATCTATTGTCCAGGCCTTTGTGAATATAACTGCAGCCCTTTGGGGTATCAACAAGGTTCTGCACTATTGGAGAAAAAGGGAAATGCTATGTTGCCAGCTACCTCCCCAATTGGGGCTCCTCAGCCCTTTCTTCCTCTTCTGGCACCTTCACCACCGACACCCTTCACAAACAGCAGTGTGCCAAGATTGTCAGGTGCATTCTGCATTATCCCTCTAGTATTATATACTTGAAACTAAGTGGCTTGACAGGCAGGAATGTGAATGCAAATTCATTCTGCTATATTTCTTGCAGGACTCTGCACCTTAAATTTTTCTGCATCTGAAAGTATGATGAGTAAAACTGCAACTGATTGCTGGGCTGTTTTTGCTCCATTTCTAGCAAATGTAATATGTTGCCCACAGTTGGAAGCCACTCTTGCGATTCTTATGGGGCAATCCAGCAAAGATACTGGGGCTCTTGCTTTGGATGCGACCCATGCAAAACACTGCCTCTCTGATGTTGAGCAGATCTTAGCAGGTCAAGGTGCAAGTGCAGATCTTCAAAAAATATGCTCAATTTATCCATTAAATCTAACTGAAGCCTCTTGCCCTCTCAAAAATGTTATTGAGTTTGAAAGCACTGTGGATACATCTAAACTTTTGGCTGCTTGTGAAACGATTGATCCTGTTAAGGAATGTTGTAGCCAAATTTGTCAGAATGCAATATCGGAAGCTGCACAAATGATTGCCTTGAAAGATTATGGTCTTTCAAGCACAGATGGGAACAACCTCTTGCTCGGGCAGTCATCTAGGATTGATGATTGTAAAGGCATTGTTCTTCGATGGCTAGCTAGTAGGCTTGGTCCTTCTTCTGCAAATAAAGTTCTTAGAGGACTTTCTAATTGCAATGTCAATAAAGGTATGCTTGGAGAAAAGGCGCTTTATGTTATTGTTTTATGAATATATCACAGTTTGAAAATAGAACATTGGTGGGTTCCATCAATACTCTATTATCCCACATGTAACCATGCAGACATCTTTGATGGTCTGTAAAAGAAATGGTGACTGGAGAGTAGACTCTGACTATTCACAAGGTTATGATATTTAATCAGTGTGTTTTTTCTTTTTTTTACTTCTGTTTTGTAGGGGATCTCTTTGGTCAGGATGTGTTGAACGCATATATAGAACAGCCTATTAGGGATGTATTTGGGTTGGATTCAGATTGGATCCATCTACATCCAAATCCATACAATTACCAAAATGTTAACTCCAAATAAGATATGAAATCTTATATGTTGGACTCGGATCGGATTAAGATTTAATCTGACTTAACGTGCATAAATTGAAGAAAAAAATTAAAAGTTTTAAAAAATTATTTACTTTTAAACTTATACATGCATAATAAATTTATTTAAATATAAAATGTTCAATTTATTTGTTATAACCTTTTTTATAATTGTATATAATGTCCATACATATAACTATACTACATACATAAAATATTAATATTTAATCGGATCGGATGTTGAATCAGGTATCAGATTTTCAGAGTCCATTGACAGCCATATGGCTTGTGTCGTTCATAATAGATGGATGTCCATGGTCCATCTAGCAATGCCATTTGTCCTTTTTTGTGATGAAACTCAGGAAAAGTTCACATGAGTTACTTTATTTGGTGGAACTTTGTAAGGGGAGGTCTTTGTTGGAGTATGCTGGTTGACCCAATTGCCATCCACTCAATAGTACATAGAAGCTGGACATTTTTTTTTATATGGGTCAGGTTTACAACTATGACCAAGGCCTGATCTTATAAACTGGATTGGCTTGCTGGGACCAACATTAGGTAATAGTGTTTTAATATGTTTTTCAGTGATTGCTTAGGCTTAATAGCAACTTGAGGATAATTCTGGTTCTTTCTGAAGATGCTTTTATTGCATGTTTATTCTTTCCAAAGTAGTGAAATGAGGAATATATGAGAAAAGTTTCCTGATCGGGTAATTTGTTTAAATTCAATTGAGTTTACTTTACCCATTTCTGCTACATGTAGAGGGAATTGGCCAATCTAGAGCATCCATCAGCCATCCATAGTTAGCAACATATCATCCTAATTTTTAATTGAGTATTCAATAATTCACTTAGTAAGTACCACAATTTTGTTTAGTAATAGTAGTATGATTAATGATAAGGAAATTCCATTGTTATTGTTGCTGTTGTTGTCATTTAACTCTACTACTTTTCCCAACTGATAATAGTTGTCAAAACTCTTACTTTGTTTCTAAAGATTAGAAAATTCTCATAAGCAATTTACCTCTTTAATCCCTTTTAACCAGTAACTATCAAATTTCATTAAGGATTTACCTTTTGTAAGTAACATTGAGAAATGCTAGAATCTTTAACGACAAGGAGAGGGATCAAACATGTGTTTTAGAAAGTATCTTATGTAGGGCCATAAGTTGGGTAAAATCCTTGGATCTGTTTTCCACTTACACTTTCGATGACATAAGGAGAAATTGGGAACAACTAGCTAAAAGTTATGCAATCAGAAGCAAGCCGGTGGTGGATTGGAAGCCTCCTGATGCAGGCGTCATTAAACTAAATTTTGACGGCAGTAGTTTGGGCAACCCGGGGCATCTGGAATAGGGGGGAGTCTTCAGAAATGATGAGGGACAGATTGTAGCTCTATTTTCTGGTCCTATAGGGTGGGGAGACTCTGTAAATGCAGAACTCCAAGCTGTGTTACAAGGAGCAGAATATGCAAGAGA